ATTTATAAAGCCATCATCAACCAATGCGTTGGTTTGCTGTTCCACGAAGAATAAGTTCTGTTTCTTCCGAAGTTATGTTGAATTTGTCTCAATCGTTTCCGAGTTTCTTTCCATTCATTGTTTCAAAAATTTAAATTCCTCATTGCTACCTCTTGATATCGTTCATTGACGCGTCCTCTTAACATTCTTCATTTCATAAAACTGTTAAACAGTGTTCCCAAATATGTCGAATAAAGACTTCTTGTTTGAACATTGCGTCCTCATCATGTTTGCCAAAGTTCATCCATTTCTCCGAGTTCTCCTGTAGTAACCTGACACATATGCTTGATATTTTTATCAAGCATTTCTGGATCCATGCGATGGTTTGCCTGTAAATTTTCTTAATGACGATAATGAAATAAATATAAAGCAAATAGATCTTTGACGAATGTGAACTGCACAAAATTCATTACTAAAATGCAACGAAAATGATAACAACAAACCACATGAGGAGGACTTCCAACTGATATTGCCTTTGAGGATATACTCGTGTCCAGATGTACTTGCTTCAGGACACGATAGATGTACGCATCTCCAAGCAAGCAGGATACACGAGTGTCGGAACCAAATTCCTTTAATTAAAAATGAAGCAAACGGGCACCACAAATCCTTAACTGTTGTAAATCCATGCGGCTTCGTGCCTCAAATATGATATCTGAAGCCACAGAGAGCACTTAATTCATGTTCCAAAACAGTGTTACTTCTTCCTCGAAAATCCTTAATTGTTGTAAGCTCACGCAGCTTCCTGCTTCAAATATGATTTCGGAAGCCGCAGAGAGCATTAAATTCATGTTCCAAAATTGTGTTACTTTCTGCTTGCAAATCCTTAATTGTTGTAAGCTCACGCTGCTTCGTGCTTCAAATATGATATCTGAAGCCGCAGCGAGCATTAAATTCATGTTCCAAAACAGTGTTACTTCTTCTACGCAATCCTCGAGTGTTGTGAGCTCACGCAGCTTCCTGCTTCAAATATGATTTCTGAAGCCGCAGGGAGCATTAAATTCATGAATTTAGAGCAGTATTCTTGCAGCCTGAAAAAATAATTTTAGCGGAAAAATCTTTGAGTGAACTCAGTCAAAAACAAGAGATGTAATAAAAACACTTATCAAAGACTTACAAAGCTCCACTTGAGAGCATTGGAATGATTCATAATGTAAAACAGA